TGTGATTAGCAGCAATATATATATACAGGGAAGGAAAGGGACGACAAACGAGCGTACACAAGGACGAAGAGGCTATCGGTGCCCCCCCCCCCAACGGTACCGTACGGAGGATTATTTTTCGCGAGCCCGCAAAACAGGGGAGGGGTTGGGCACACCTGAGAGTCGGCTTACTATTATATATATATGTGTATACTTTGTGCGTGGGTAACGAGCGACGGAGAGGATAAGGTATTTTTATACGTACGTGGGGTACAAGCTTTTCGGTAAACATCTCGGTTATTGGTTGTGTGTGTGTGTGTACATGTTTTGCGAGGCAGTGGTATAGGGGGGGGGGGGGGGGTACCAGCTCTTTTTACCTGGAAGGGTTGGCCCGACTCCGTGAATGGGATTAAGATGATGCAGGGCGTCCAAAGACACGATTGTAGTTTCTTTTCGGCGTTTATATATATAATAGTGGAGTCGCTAACCGAGAGAACGGGTGGCTTTCGAAGGGACGGGCTTTGTTTTCCTTTTGTTTTCTTTTCTTTTTTCTTTGGCGAATTCGTTCGTTACGAGAGATACGAATCCTCTGAATCACGAGGCACTCACCCATATCATATACCCCACTCGTGTGCATTTTTCGGGGGAGGGTAAACGACCCTCTTTATATTATTTTTTTTCTTTTATCACGCCGAGCGAAGTTATTTCAAAAACGCCAAAGCATAGCTACATTTATTTTCGGAAATTGCTCCACCGAGTCCATTCGATATTCACCTGTTCATCAATTGTCTCGGAAAAAGTAACGTCTTCTCATTCCTTTAAGCGCTGGTACAGCCACCACACCAACAAGAAAAAAAAAAAAAAGCAAGGTCACGGTAGCCGTATAATGTACACCCGTGTCGAGATTGGATAAATCCTCGTTGTCACGGAGAACACAGTCCTCTTCGTCAAATCCTGAGAGATGATACTTTACCTCGTGCGTATATTAAGTACACCGTGACAAAACACCGGCATCGAGATCGTTCAACTCCATACCCTCCTCCCGCCTCTTTTCCTTTTACACCGTCGTGCACGAGCGTTTAGCGCCTCTCCTGCTTTCAACCTAATGACCCTATATAACCGGCCCTCCTTCTCTTTTGTCGGCGGTCACGTGCGGAGTGTTGTTTGCCGAAAAATCGACGAGGAGCCCGATGATGGGATATTTTTCCGTATAGTTTTCCCCGCCTCGATTTTTCCCGGAGGAGCAGCGGTGACGCCGGCAAGACCGTAACGTGAGCGGAAAAGGGATGGGTCGACTTTGGCTCGACGAATCGTGTATTTTATATATATATACACGCGGGGTGTGATGAAGACATTTTTTTTTCTTCGTATATACATATATATATATATATACATATATATATATATCGTGGGTGCTTTGTGTGTACGCTGATGTTGCGTCCTTGGGTTGTTGTTTGTTTTTTCCCCCTCCCCAAAGAACTTCTTTTGATCAAACGAGAGTACGAGAAGGAGCGCGGTATAATTCCATTCACATCTTCAATTGCGAGTTTTTTTCGTCAATTTTGGGAGGAGCTGTGTGGACACCTAATGATTTACTCGCGATTAAAAATAATAAGTTAAACGGTCCTCTGTTGTTTCGAATATTTTCCATGAAAGATAAACGACAACATTTCCGGATAACCGTGATGAGGAAACTATTTTGAATTTCGGGAAAGGACGAAAAAAACGAGGTAACTTTTTATACATCCATACGTATACAAGGGAGGGCTGGAGCTTATGCGTTTGTAACCGTTTCTTGGCGTCTTGCCGATCCGCGTAAAAGTACCGCCGCTGAGTGACTCACGTCGGGGAGGATTCATGTCCTACCTCCCCCTCCCTGTCTTATACACCCGTGCACAAGTATCAGCATCCGCATGAAACTTCTCTGCGAGCGTATACATATACATATATATATATACGTGCAAGGGATGCGATAGGAGGCGAGGGTCGTCGCGCTACTGAATTCTTGCATGAGCTGGCTGCGGAGGACGATAGTCGTGGGTCCGATTGGTATGGAGAAAAATTCACAAAGTTGCTTGTGGTATATTGTGTTTTTTCGATAGGATTGAGGGTTTGGTAATTAATTTTTCATCAAAAAAAAAAAAAAATCCATCTGTTGTGACTCACTAAATGATGTATGTTTAGTTTCATTTTCCAAAGAACCCGAAATATTACCGTTTTTCATTGATCACCGAGTGATTTTCCCCGACGTTGCGTCACACACATTAGACACATCACACCTTTCAGATATACTCGTGCACGCGTATACATAATGTACGGCCACACGTAGATAAAAGCTGCTTTGCCGTGGAATATCCTGATGTCGAGGAAAGCCGCAGCATTTAGACAGCTCATCTGGTATATATAGGCTTTTTCTTTGCGTCAAGGGCCAACGCAAAAGCCTCTGATTTGAATCTGAAACAAAAAGACAAAAAACAGATAAGTATCGGGAGAAAGGGATGAATAATGCATCAACCCACACCAGCCATCGAAAAATGGTACTTGCATAGAATCCGTGAAAATTACTTCGTATAGCGTACGCCAAAAGTGACACAAATACGACTTTTAAATGAATATAAACGGATAGTGATTAACCACATTGATTTTAATCGCGATTAAAAGAAACAAAAACATATTGTTGACCGATGAAACTTTTGATAAATCGTAAAAGTGGTAATGACCTATAATAGTTATTCGTTAACATCGAATGATAAGGAAACTTGTTGTCAATGCTTAATTATGTAATAATGATGTACCGTTCCAAATACGATGTACGATAAGCGATGATAAAGTATTACGTGAAATGAAAACTAAAACTGTGATTAGCAGCATTAATTAAGTGGTAATGAAAAACAATAATCGGTTCAAAGCTATTAACACGAGCGATAATTATTCTTGTAACTGAAGTATCCAAGAACGTATACCTATAAGCTTTAAAATAACTTTGCCCCTATCGCAGTATGAAAAAATGTCATGGAGTGTAACTTGTGTCCAGTGGCCGAGAAAAACGCGCAGTCCATCTTAATTTATTGGTCCCTTTTTACTATGATGATCGAGCAAGTGGTAAACAGTGACGGGTAATACCTAATATTCCGAGACAATCGAAGGGGATAAATTTTGGCTCTTTTTTATGATAATTAAAAAAAAAAATTGTGACAAACAATTCACATAGCTTCTTGGCACTTTGAACAGTTATTGTAAATTTTACTGCTTTTCCGGCATTTTGAGAAAATTATTGAACCAATGTTGAGGAACCTGTTGTAGGTGTAGTTATGACGTAATGAGACACGTCAGGGGATCAAAATTATTAAATAACCACGATTAGGCAATCTTGCGTTTGGGAGAAATTAAAAATTATAATCGTAAATCACTGGTGATAAGGTGAGCCATGAAAAACTCGTGACAAGCAATAATTAAAAATGATAAGCGACGGCCAACATTGATAAGATATGATAAACAACTATTAAAAACAAAAATCATTCATAGCTCATATACATAGGTACTCGAGATAAGAAACAGTGATTTGCAGTGATTGATAACCCTCGTCTAAGTTAACACGATTAAAAATGGTAATTACAGACAACGAGATAATGGTAAAATTTTAATAACAAAAAATCATTGACTCTTAATCTATAATCCCTCACAGCTTTAGATACACTGAAAACTTCGATAAATCATGGTATATATATATANATACTCTAAACGAAAGCTTACGAGATATATATATATATATAACTATTGTTAAACCCAAAGTTTTGTGGTAAACGAAACAATGTAAATTAATAAAAATAAATTATAACGATATTCCCAAAGAAATCTGCCATACCGCAAAGCGTAATCCACTTCCTTTTCCGCGGTAGGTAATTCACGAAAGATCGCTCGGTACACAGCTCAGCAAAGATGCCTCATCGGCCGGCTCTTATGGTGTCCGTATGCCATATATATAATAGGGTATATATGGTTTTTTCCATAAGGCGCGTGCAGGTGTCCGACCGGGAGGGCGCTCGGGTGAAGCCTACATAGAAACGAACCGATCTCAAAAATCTACGAGACTTTGAGCACCAGCAAATCAATCGGCGGATGAATCGATGTACAGGTAAACACACTAAATCCTCCGGGGGGAAAAAAAATAAAGATATTCCTGTCGGATTGGGGCGCAACGCTAATTGCT